GACAGAATAGTTTTTCACACAACGTCCATGAGTAAAACTAGTTACAAAATGGATTCATTTCTACCTTCAATAAGCGTCTTGTGTGTTTTTATAATTCATTTAAGTTCTGTAGCAGGTGATGTGTTCATCGATCTTCATAATCTATATTTTTAAATCATTAAATACCGTTCACGTTTGTAAATATGATTTCGATTTCTTTTAATTCCCGGATGGCGGTGGTATCGGAATTAACTACGGATTATTCGGAGACAACCTCCCTCCTCCAGACCAAGTCGCAACCCTCTTAAAGTCAAGAAACATATCACAAATTCGTATCTTTAGCCCCGACCTCAAGGTTCTTAACGCTCTACAAAACTCCGGAATTCAAGTGATCATTGGAACCTTCAATCAAGAAGTAGGTACTCTTGCAGGAGATATCAACTTTGCAAAAGCATGGGTGCAAACCAACATTATCCCATACGTACAAACAATCAAATTCCGTTGCATATCCATTGGTAATGAAGTCATCCCAGGTGATATGAATTCTTTGGTGTTCCCAGCGATGCAAAATATGAACGCAGCTTTACAATTCTTCAGTCTTTTTCAAATTCCGGTGAGTACAACCGTCGGGATTAATGCACTAGCAAGTTCATCTCCTCCTTCAACTGGAGATTTTTCAGGTGATGTCAAGCCTGCAATCGAACAGATTGCATGTTTCTTAGCTAACAACGGTTTCCCACTTTTGATCACTGCGTACCCTTACTTTTCTTACATCCATGAACCAAGTTCAATTCAATTACCGTTCGTGTTATTCACCTCTCCTGATGTTGTAGTGAGAGATGGAAGTCTGGGGTACAAGAATATGTTCGATGCCATGGTTGATGCGGTTTACTCCGCATTGGAAAAGGTTGGTGCAGGTGGTGTTGAGGTGGTGATTTGTGAGAGTGGGTGGCCGTCACAAGGGAATGGTGATTTCACGACGACTGAACTGGCTCAGACCTATAATCAGAATCTTTTGAACCACGTGCGTGGTTCTGGTACTCCTAAGAAGCCCGACAAGAATGTGGAGACATATGTTTTTGCACTTTTTAACGAGAACCAAAAGGATCCAGGGGTCGAACAACATTTTGGCTTGTTCAATCCAGACATGACTGAAGTGTATCATGTTGATTTTTAAGTATATATAGCAATTGATCAAGAATGTAACTTTATTATTGTGTGAAGCATTGTAATTGAAAAGGGAATTGTAGTTCATGAATTACAATCTATTGTGGGGTGTTTCTATGGTTTTCAGTATCGTTTTTTTTTTTAATTTTGTTTTTTAACTCGCGAAGAATATTAAATCGGGAATAATTTAAAAGTTTAAAAGTTATGACTTATTGAATAAATAAAACTAATAGACGGAAATTCTAGGTTTAGTGGACAAACGATATGTAAAATACTCAAAACCAAACCTTATTTTCTTACCAATACCAATCACAATATCTACCAAAACAAAAACTCCAAGATAATGTAAAACAGTAAAAGTACCCTATAAACATAATATTTGTAAACAAAAAGATGAAACCAGGATTTATAAACAACCTTACAACACCCATATAAGAAAGATCCCACACCAACAACCAAACACAGTTACACACAAAAGAAAAAATCACACAGACACACACACTAAATTAAGTAGTAGATTACCTTTTATACCAAACAAATGTGCTCTAACTCTAGAATATGATCCCTGTCGGGTTTCACTGCAAAGGTTACACTTGAATTTCCAACATCCTCCTGCTCCAACAAGTTTTTCCAACTTTGTCACATAGTCCCACAATGGAGGTTGGTCTATTGTTGATGATGATCCTTCTGACTGTCTTTCTTGTTCTTGAGAAGCCATCAAAATCGGTCTCTGATTTCTTAATTGGTGAATGGTTTGGTGATCTTCTTCTTCTGTTTCGTAATCACTGTGATCGTCTATTCGTCTTTTTGGTGATCACTGTGATCGTATTTGGCGAGGCAGTAGACAGAGTTGAGAGTCGATCAGCTTAGGCTTGTAGGGTAATAAGTTAAGAGTCGATTAATATAGCCCATTAGACTTTTTTGGACTGAAAAAGCCCATGCAAAACCTTAAAAAAAATGGAAACTTGGCGGAAACTGCAAAGAAACGTTTCGTGTTTACCAGATACGTCATGGAAACATTTCCATGGCGTATCCGTTTCCACGACGTATCGGATACAGGAACGGCGACCAAATTGAGTCCGTGCTTCATAGGTTTCAAGGATAGAGTGGTATAGTGTAAGATTGGGTTTGGTGGTTTTCTGGCAATTTTGCCCTTGGGTTACGACTTATGAGTCTGGGACACTATACATAATATGTTCAAGGATACATATTAATAAATTCAACAACAAAGATACATATTTACCAAAAATTACATATTATTACATTCATTGAATCTAATAGTATATCAACAGTTGCATCATATCCAACATTACACAATCAACCAACCATCCATTTCTAGTTTATCCATGGAATAAACTATAGAAACAATCATCCTTTACAGACCTGTCTCTAAATGTACACACCAAAGAAACCAATAACATTTTGTAATCTGAGTTATGTACAAAACCGAAAATGAAAGAAAAAACGACGGTTACTTGTTAGAAAAAGTCCATGTTTCAATAAAACAACAAAGATAGTATTTTAGAAATGAAATCCAGTCTAAATACATTATAAAAGAACTAGCAATTCCATGTGTAAATTCTTGAACATCATTGTTTTCCAAGTGGTTATTTCCAAGATCAAAGGATGATTCATTCATCTTTGAGTAAATTACACGAATGGTCCCTATGGTTTGGAGTAATTTGCATGTTTGGTCCCTAACTTATTTTTTTAACTCGAAAGGTCCCTACAGTTTGTTTTTGTTGCGCGCTTGGTCCCTATCTTATCTAAAAAGACTATTTTTCCCTTGATTTTTTAATTTATTTAAATAAGGTGTGGTAGGTAAGATAAGGTAATATGAGGTTTCGTCATAGTCAATACCATGAGTCTGAGTGAAAACTTTTGCAATAAGTCTTACTTTAAATGTGTGTATATTACTATACATGTCAGTCTTCTTCCTGAAGACTCACATACTCCTTAAAATCTTACTATGGGGGGAAGATCAACCAAGTCCCAAACTTGGTTTTCATGCATCGGATTGCATCTCAGCGTTCATGGTGAAACATCCCTATTTCACGGCCAAAAAATTTCATTTTTATTTAAAGTCAAACTCCTCAATTATAAAAACCATTATAAGATAAACCATTTATTCTCAGTTACAATTAATGAAATCAGAGTATTATGATGAACGTGAAATCCTCATTCCTTTTGATGAGTGTGTATAGTCCCGCCTTCGCCTTCCCATAATCATCGATGACACCTGAAACCATAAACAACTATGTAAAAATAAGCTTAGTGAGTTTCCCCCAAAATACCCCATACGATAAACATATAAACATGCATAACGTCCCACAACCTCCCGGTTGGAATGCCCAGGCCCAATCAATCCTCAGACTGGAATGCCAACATGCAACGAGTCCAATCAATAATCGGGCTGGAATACCTAGGGTTTGTTGGCCTAACACCTCAACCCAACTGCTCTTCTAGAGCCTTCGTGCCTACGACTTACAATCGGCCCGCACCGGGTATCTTGGCCTACAACACAAAGCAGGGCCGTCTCAACCCACCACTACCATATGTCAACATATAAACAAACAAGGATCAAGTAGGCACATAATACAAGAAAACATCAAACATACAACTCACTACCGCCTACAAGTCTTCTCACAACATACAGTCCTGCTACCAACCATCCTCCATGAAATGCATAACCATAAGTAACCAGAGGTAAGATAGCCACCCGAACAGATGATCCTACTCTAGAGCCACAACCAAACAAGGAACAGGTAAGAAAGACTAGATCAAGAGTTCTCAGGCTATCCTACGTGACCACAGACAGTCCTTAGGGCACTCCACCAGAGGATAACCGGCAAGTACAGATAACATGCAGTTCTACAAATCACTATGACAACACAGCATACTCGATACCAGGATACAGATCTAACAGTTCACTACAGCATAACAACATACTCGATACCAGGATACAAACCTAACAAATCACTACAACATAACAACATACTCGATACCAGGATACAGATCTAACAGATCACTACAACATAACAACATACTCGATACCAAGATACAGATCTAACAGATCACTACAGCATAACAACATACTCGATACCATAATAAAAATCTAACAGATCGCTACAGCAATAGCAACATACTAAGTATCAAAATCCAAGGATTGCAAGACCGTATATATTCAGAGGTGAGATAGCCACCCGGACAGGTGGTCCTACTTTAGAACCACAACCAAACAAGGAACAGGTAAGAGAGCCTAGAACAAGAGTCCTCAGTCTATCCTACATGAATATATACAGTCCCTAAGGAATCCTTCTACTAACAGATAACCAAAACTAGTGGGTCGGCATTGGTGCCTTCGACCTATGGTACAATAAGGCGAAACTCACCTAAAATGAAGAAACCCGAGAACACCGTGATACGCTCCCTGTTAAATTGCTTGCTCTCGCAGGTCCACTAACATTAGAACCAATAAAATCTTAACAATAAATCAAAACCCTCAAGTTTGACCTAAAGTCAAACTTGGTCAAAAAAGTCAACGGTCAACGGAGTCAACAAAAGTTAACATTTCTCCACAGCGGGGTATGCCCAGCGTACTCTAATGTTTGACCAAGAAATGGGGCGTTGACTTCGTACATGCAGCGTACCTCCAGGTACGCCCAGCGTACGCTGCCCAGTCCCAAAATTCCATTAAGAGCTTATTCCATTAAGCTCTTCCTCCCAAAACTCAGATCTAAGCCCACAATGATGTCATAAGTCATAAAGTTTCCAACTTTATGACTTTGCATGGCTATAAGATGCTTAATGTGCAAAACCCTATGTTCTTAACCCAATAAGGCCCTCTAACACATGCATGGGCTAAATATCACATCCAATATCCAATTTTTATGCTTTAAGACACTCCCAAACGTCTGAAAGGACAACTCAAAAAGGATTAGAGTACCACATACTCATAATACCAAGCTCATGGGACCAAAATAACCATAAATCTAAGGCTAACAAGATCTAAATGAAATCAATATCAAGTTCAGAAGTTTATACCTCCAAAGGGTGACAAAAGATGGTAGAATCTTGGATCCAAAGTGTTCCACTCTTCAAGGATGATCTTATTTTCCAACTTGCTCCCTCAAGGACACCAAAATATACACCAAAGCTCAAAAATGCACTTGAGAGGATTGGGGTTGGCTAAGGAACGATTTTCCAGATAGAGGCTGAGGAGGGGAAAGGGTATTGAGTCATAAAGATGAATATATAGTGCTCAAACCCTAAATCATTAGGGTTTGTCCTGGCCAGAGTATGCTCAATGTACCACAAGAGTACGCCCAACATACTCAAGCAAGCACGCCCCCTTATCCAATATGCCACATGGGACCCTTTTGCAAAGAAATTTCATTTCAAGGGTTAAAATGTAATATTTAAAAATCGTGGTGTTACAATTCTCCCCAACTTAATTGGATTTCGTCCTCGAAATCATTCCCTTCTACATCCTATTCCCATGACAAGTCGGTCTGATCGAACTTTCTGAGTTCCAGATATATTTTGAGAATCACCCCCGCACCGCAAATCAACCATCATGTAGTTGTCATTAACTCAAAATTTGCCGGAAACACCACCCCTAGCGACGAACAAACCCGGTTTCCTGCCCTTAGCCATCAAAGCATCCAACCGTTGTGACTAAACTAAACGATTATACCCCCATTAACACAACCTCAGCCAACCACATGGTTCAATTCCATTAATCACTGAGCCTTAAAATTCCCTTCGAGACACTGCCAAACGCCGTCAAGCTAACCCCGCACAGAAGTGCACTATCGTGATGAGAACCAACCGGTCACAAACCAAATTAGACCACGCTCCTACTTCGCTTCAACAAATATACCTAGCTATCTACTTACAATACTCAGGCTTAACCTTGATCCACTAACCGACAACGGCACTCGGGCCTACCCCGATCCTCTAACCAACAACAACACTTGGGCCAATAAAGTTAACTGATCCTACCAGGTC